CTAGTATTTTGTTGTAAGCAAAAACTTTTGCATTACTTGCATGAAAATCCTGATTATTTCATAAAACTATTCTGGATTCCCTCGCATTCAGGAATATTAAAAACTGAAATGGCAGATCAACTAGCCAAAGAAGTAACCGACCTTAACATAGTTAAAAATTGTAAAGTGCCTTTTACTGACTTCAAAGAACATTTCAAAACGTTAATGTATACTACAATAAATAAAAATTTAAAATAACAAGGTACTATAAAAGGTATAAAATTTTTTACTGAATTCTACAAAGACAAATATCTCCATGGTTTGCTCGAAAAAATCTATCTCGAAATCTTATAACATGTACCAACAGATGTCGAGCCAATCACTGTATAGTTTAGCAGCCTTTTGTTGTATTAAAGTTATAAATAACCCAAAATGCAAATGTGACCGAAGTGACGAGGACATTGATCATGTTCTCTGGAGTTGTAAAATATATGACGACAGACGTATACAAATTATCAATGATCTAAAAAAGTGGGCTAAATCACCCTTACTCCAGAGATATGATAGTATCCTTTCCTAACATTAAAGATTGTCAAGCGATCATCTAAGCGATTTATTCTATCCGCGTTAAATTTAAGTCTCAAATGTAATTAAAGTTATATGTATCAAATCAACACGCTTTGGTTTTCTGTAATATAACACTGTAAGCTGAAATGGGCTAAAAAAAAACAAGCCCCNTTCTGATACCTACACATAGAACATGGTACTTGAGTATAGTAATTCAAAAGAAACAAATTTGTACTGTACTTGTTCCAACCAGTGTTGTATAGTTTTCATTCCCTTTTTAAACTATGATTGAGTTTAAGAAACGTTGAGTTCCATTTAATTTAGTGTACTTGGTGGAACTGTCTTACGGACAAAAGTTGCTAACAAACTACTTTAAATCACTCAGCCCGATGTTCCTGATGAACCAGAATTCGCCAGACATAATAGAACTGTCCAAAGCGACAGTCTTAGGTTATTTTGACGATTATGCGCAATTGCCTTAATGGTCAAACATATTTTTTCGACAATGGCAAAAAAAATCAAGGAATCCCTGATAGACCCCGAAAGAACCTGTTATAAGAAATATATATTTCTAAGTTATAAATAAAAGTAAATAACTAATTTTGTTTTTTTACTTCAAAATAAGCATGCCATGGAATATCTGGATCGAAAATTTGGCATATCAATACATGTCAACGCTTTAAAGGTCTGACAGTAATTTCAAAATCCTAAGGGCTTCATGGGACATTTATAATCCTTTGACGATATCGGANGAGATCTCACGAATACAGGAGCTTGATAATGCAAGCTCACTTTTTCCATGTTAAATACTTCAAAACGTATAGTGATTTAAACTTTGAGAGTTTTGTTGGCTACATTATTTAATAAATTTATAGAAAAAAAATAGTTTATGGTTTTTTGTTAACTTCTCATTTATATTTCCGTAATTATAACTCAGACCCTCGATAATAGGAACAGGCTCGATAAAAGCGACATCTACCTCTATAGGAGTTCTACCCCAATAAATATTACTTATGCTGTGCTGAATCAAAAGTTATGAGGTCTTTAGGGTTAGCAAACTCATTTTAGATGGCGTACTATAGCTATAAAAAAATGGCGTCACTGACACACTGTTACTATAAGTAACGATAGTAAACGGTAATGTTAACTTACTTATGTAACAACATATCTGTCACACTGACGTCAGGAGATCACGGATAGTAAATTATTGTCAATGTGACGCCATTTTCCTCTTAGCTACAGTACGCCATCTATGCTGAGTTTGCGGACCGTAGAGACCTCATACCTAGGCAATTTATACTTCTTTAAAATCATGATAAACACCAAAAATCTAACTCATCAATCTGTGTTGAAGTTTTGTGATATTGCTTCCAGAAGTTCTCGTCGATCAGAAAGACTATTAACAAAATGCATAACCAATGCTATTAATTTTAAAGACTTAATTTACACAAATGAGAACTATATACCATATTACTACTCTATCAGAACTCTTGTTACTACTCCACCTATAAACGTTGAAATAGGCAAAAAAATTCGAAGCCTACGATATTAACATGTCTGTATACTTAGCGGAGTGTGCAGCTATAAATGAAGCGTTAGACATAATTATTGATCTAAGTATAACACATACCATTACATTTTCTGATTCTCTGAGTGTATTACTTAGTATAAACACAACCCAAAGTAATGTGCAAACTAACTACCTAGTATTTTGTTGTAAGCAAAAACTTTTGCATTACTTGCATGAAAATCCTGATTATTTCATAAAACTATTCTGGATTCCCTCGCATTCAGGAATATTAAAAACTGAAATGGCAGATCAACTAGCCAAAGAAGTAACCGACCTTAACATAGTTAAAAATTGTAAAGTGCCTTTTACTGACTTCAAAGAACATTTCAAAACGTTAATGTATACTACAATAAATAAAAATTTAAAATAACAAGGTACTATAAAAGGTATAAAATTTTTTACTGAATTCTACAAAGACAAATATCTCCATGGTTTGCTCGAAAAAATCTATCTCGAAATCTTATAACATGTACCAACAGATGTCGAGCCAATCACTGTATAGTTTAGCAGCCTTTTGTTGTATTAAAGTTATAAATAACCCAAAATGCAAATGTGACCGAAGTGACGAGGACATTGATCATGTTCTCTGGAGTTGTAAAATATATGACGACAGACGTATACAAATTATCAATGATCTAAAAAAGTGGGCTAAATCACCCTTACTCCAGAGATATGATAGTATCCTTTCCTAACATTAAAGATTGTCAAGCGATCATCTAAGCGATTTATTCTATCCGCGTTAAATTTAAGTCTCAAATGTAATTAAAGTTATATGTATCAAATCAACACGCTTTGGTTTTCTGTAATATAACACTGTAAGCTGAAATGGGCTAAAAAAAAACAAGCCCCAAAAGTTTTAAATAAAGAAAAAAAAAAAAAAAAAACGATCCTTAATATGTTCACCTCACAATAATATTCCTTCATTAAATTGCATGCGATATTTACTTTAAAAGGAGCCTCTACAAACAAACACTACAATTTAAACAAAGTAGTAATTTATTGCCAAAACGAAATTGTAATTACGGCATAAAGATATGTGTAGACCTTACAAGAAAACTACTCGTGCCGGGAGCGGAACTTCACTGCAAGGTAATGGCGGCAAGATGCGAACAACCTGATGCAAAGTTGGGCAAAAATGGCCAAACACGTTGAAAATGAGAGTCTAACTGCTGGGCGAGAGCAATCCGACCTCTTCGAAGTTCAAACGAACAGAAGGGACCAGAGCTCTGCGCTCGCAAGGGTCCTGCGATCGTCGAGAAACGTCTGTGTTCTTATAAGTAGGGGGGGGGGGCGAGCACACAAAAACAGGTGTATTTGGCGTGGTCTCTTTTCCATCACCTGTCTCACGTGCAGAAGCCGATCCCAATATATGCCAGTCTCTCTTTTAAATTGAGGCTTGTCATCTGCTGAGCAGTGAACTTTCGCGTAATATTCACTTACAAGTGAACAACACTTACCGTGTCACTCCAGTCTACTGAGATAGTTCCATTTCTCATTCAATAATTAATCATTACACTTTTATATATACATCATATCCCCAATCTGCTAGTCGTAAGAGAAGAAGTCAGCTGACCGTGCCCTTCAAAAATTCCGTTACTTGTGCTACGGGCAGCTGTACGGACTCTCTCTTTCTCTCTCTTTCGACGTCTCTGAGTCAGGAAGAGGGGAAAGGGCTATATAAGTAGCTGGCTTTTCTAAATTCCTCAACATATTGAAAAAGTGGAAAATGGGACTGTTGCGGACGAGTCGTAAAATCAGTAAGTAGTGTAATATATAAGGAATAACTCAGTAATTAAGTCATAAATGTACGAAAGTGAATGGGGACAATAGGATGATTTCTTGGAAAGTTAATAATATTTCTCCACTAAATTTACAGTGATAGGTATGGTAAAGCCCTGTGATCTGGACACCAGGAATTAATACTTGTACAAAATAAAACTGCTTAGTAAATTGTGCTTTTTTTGATCATTACGAAATACATTACAGGACTGTATGGTATCAGTTAGAGAATTGGTAAATGGGTGCGACAATACAGCCCTACACATAAGTGGCAAGTGGGTGGCACCGGTGACTGAGCCAGTAGGCTTTCGTGGTAACCAGGTAAAAAAATTTATATTTCTATTCCTACCTTAAGAGATTGATTGTCACGTAACTGAAGCCTTTTTATTCGTTCTGTAATTGTACGGGACTCACGAATACTTAGCGGGTAAATTTGATAAGTTTAAAAAAATATAGTTTAAAAAACCAATACTTGAAATAATTAAAATTTCATCATGTAAGATAACTGAAGAGATCATATTTTTGGATTTAAGTAGATCCAATGGTTTATTGGAAAATATTATTTGGAATATCAATTTCGTTAAATCGAAGTGATAATGAAAATAAAAAAAGAGTCTGCATTGTTACAATTACCTGGAGTTCGATACTATTTAATTTATTTATACTATTGAATTCAATTGTCTTTTTAAGAGTTAGTATATTACTTGACAAAGCTAAATTTTAAAGTATTGGTTATAGTATCTAAAATTAAAAAGTTGTTAATACAATTATTGGTTTGAAGAAAGGATCCGAGCAATAGATAACAAGAAAATTAATTTTTCTTACTTTTTACGAGATAGAAAATGCAGGAAAGTTATTTTTTTGGTAGTATATTAAAATTGAATAACGAAATGTACATATAATCGTCAATGCAAATTAAATCAAATAACAAAATAACTAAACCAGACGAAGCACGAATTATATATATAAANTATAAAGTTTAAAATTAAGATAGGAAAAAATTTAAACTGAGAATGGCTACGTTAGTCATGTGTTTAAAAGTATTGGAATTTCGTACATTTAATATTGTTAATAATAAAATAAGCGCAAGAAAAAAAATACGACTCTAAAATTTTTCATTCACTCGGCTCTTTCTTGTATTATTATAAAAGGAAACTGTTGAAGGGGTAAGTTTTCCGAGTTGAATCAGAATCATCAAATAAGTCGTGATGGAGGCAGTCATCTGAAACAAAAACATTTTCCGTAAGCATTAAATACTAATTTGAAGATAAAATTTCAGAAAAAAATCGAATCATATAAATAAAAGTTTTTTACCCCTTGAATCAAAGAGAAATCAAGATCGATGAATCCAAGAGCTGAAAATTTCAGGGGGTTTTGTATAAGCTGGATGTTAAAGTCTCGAATCTACAAAATAATTTATTTTTGTACATTTGACAAACACATGGTGGTTGTATCTCAGTATAAAACGGGGTCTAAAAAATTCTATTGGGTAAATAAAATATAATTGATGTGCTTTTTATATATGTTATTATCATGTTAACGGGGTTAATTGTTGATTTGAAAAAAAATTATGTTCTAATTTTATTCACCAGCACATGTCATGTAACAAAATACTTTGTGTAAAATGAAAAATTTTCATTAATAAGTAATTCGATAGAAATTAACCAACGCTATTATTTCCCTAATTCAAAGTAATAAATTTATCAACTTCGATTAATTAATTAAATATATGTATTTACATTTTGAAAAATTTTAATTTTTATAAGAATCAAAATAAAATTATATTATAACAAATGCACTATACGGAATTATTTTATGTAATTCATTACAAACGAAGACTAATGAATTTATAGCTATTTACTAGGAGAAAAAAGCTAGCCTTAGTTTATTAAAATCAGATATCATATTCTCTACATAAGTGTCATATTCTCGTAGAAATGATACACTGATAAAAAAATTTTACTTTTCTTTAATCCGCGTTTTATTTGAATAAATGCTAATATGACTGGCATTAAAATCACAATAATTAAATTTTATTTGACCAAGAAATTCAATTCTTTAACAGCCCTTAAATTACAGGACACATTTATCTTAATGTGTATTTAATACACAAAGACCAGTACCTCACTTTGAATGTCACTGTTAATTGTCGGATCATCGTACAATTCGTTAATAACATCTCCTGTTCTAATCGACTGCCGACGACGTATGAAATTAAATCATGAAAATTATAAATAGCCTGTGCATGACTATTTATTAAAATAAAAAAGAAATTTTATTTTAAATACAAACCTCTTTTGAACAATAATTACAACTATTGCTGATAAAGAGAATTTTTATTATATAATAGCTAACCCAAATGGAAACGACTGAACACGTTTCCAAAATTTCTATGCGCGATGCGTACTTATCGACCAACGTAGCGTACATAATGTATAGGTCACCCGTGATTACTGCAAAAGCCGCCACGATCGACAACAACATTTGTACGCCGTACATACTGTCCGCGTCACGACAAATTTTGACCACCAGTAAGTGAATCCTCCTGTCAATTGATAGACAATTATAGTGACGAGAAATGTATTTATTGATAGAAAATTTATAATTATGTTCGAAAAATAACGAGAAAAATTAATGATACTTGGATATTTTTAAGACGATGGCGTGATTTTTGGGCATTCCGTCAACCATGTAAACATCTAGATTTTTCGACTCCTTAGTTGGAAGGCTCAAAAGACGCTTATGCTGAGGAAATTCCATCGTCGTTGTAATCATGTTTTTTAGAACTTCGTTGACCATTTGAAGTCTATAACGCGCACAACTGCAGTGCAAAATAGAAAAATTTTTACTAAAAATTTAATTTAAGGCATTGTACCATTTTTGCGTATCCTCGTATATGTATAATACACGTACATGAACGATTTCAAACAATCATCGAGATTCAAAATTAAATTAAAACAATAGTTTTTACAATCCTTTCTTAATAGTTTTATTTTACTTGAAATTTTAGGTAAAGAGACAAGTCTTAATCACCATTAAAATGTTGATGTGACAGACATGTGACATGTGTTTTTATCAAGAGGTAAAATTGTGTCATACATACAAATAGAAACATGCTAATAATATGTAATCTCGTAGGAAAGTCTTGAAAGAATATTATTCGGGTAATACCAAACTGTCCCACAATAACGCTATTATAGTTCAATAGTTGAAAAAAATCAAAAACATGATTCAATGTGAAATTTGATGTTAATTTTCATGAAATATTTAGGTACTCTATGAAATCTCGTGTGATTTTATAGCAGTAAAATTTTATAATAATAATAATTCTTTGAAAAGCAACAATATTAATAAGCAATCTTTACTTTTTCATGTACAGAAATTATACATGATCCAATTTTTTGTTTTTACTAGAAGAATAAATTACATGTTAATAGTTTTTTTACTAAGAAAACTCTTCGAAAATGTCTGTTTAATTATACACATTTTAAGGGGGAGGATCAACTTGCGAATGCAGACGTTGAAAAAATATCAGTCACCATATAACTATAATGACTATAATGATATTTGATTGCAGTAAACGTAGTTACTTGATGAGTATGTGACTAAAATATAATACATTTTAATTGTGTACCAAAGTAATGACGCTTACTTTAATGAAAGTCAAAGTTCATCGTGGAGACTGGTATTTTCTCGACTTACGGAATAGTAGTTGTCCCTGCTTTACTCTTTCAATGACCTTAGGATTGTTAGCAAAATTATTCGTAATTTTCAAACAAAATTTCATGAGCACTTTTATTATTTTAGACTATCTCATTAACTAACCCCTTCACTTATTTTTTGGAATTTAAACAAGGTAATCATTAAAAAATATTTATTTTGCATCAATTATATAATTGCCTTAAATAGATAATTTTTATCTGATAATCTGAATTCTTAACAAAATTATATTGTTTTTTGATAAAGTTAAATTGAACGTTACGATTGATAAAATTCCTTTCTGTTGACACAATACATTGAAAATTTGATAAGTAACCCCTAGAAAACGTATCACAGTTATTGAATAAAACTTGGTCCAACAAAAAAAGTTAGATAAAAAATCTATAAAATAATGGTTTCCAAGTCTGGTCATTTCAAGCGGAGCAACTTAAAAACCGAGCACAAATTCACTTCAAATAACCCATGTAAGATGATTCCTCGAAAAGTCGTTCACGTGCATGAAATTCAAACAAAATAGGTATACTAATCAAGGAGGCGATACGTTCTTGACAATGTTCATAAACGTCAGGTCAGCGATGAACATGACGAACACGGGGTAAGATATCGTGATGGTCATCAAAAGCCTATGGTACAGCGGGACATCGTTAAGCTCGATAAACGCCGCGTTGAAGCCCATTATTAAAAACGTGAACGCCGAGTTGGCCACTATACTTCCGATCTGGCGCTTGAATATCTGCCCGCGGACGTTTTTAATGCCGATCTGGTTCATCATGTCATCGATCAGTGCAGCTTTCATCAGGCACTTGTGCAGCGACTTCAAAGTATTCATAGATCAAAAAGTTGTTATAGTTAAATATTTCGTAGTGTTACAAGGAATACACGTAAACATGTATACCTGACTGCGGAACCAGCCCAAAGTAAGCGTGACGATGGTGAGCAGGATGTGCGCGAAGAAGAATATTCTGATCGGCAGAATTATCCTGGACGCGTCGTAGAGGGAGAACCCGTTGGATTCCGAGTAAGTGAGTCCAGCGAGGACGCAATACGTGGCAAGTAACATCGACGTGTAAACGAAGCTTATGACCGGACGCGGTTTCCCCAGTGGGTACTCGATCACGCCTATGCCGAAGATCCAGTTGAACATGAAAATCGGCAGGACGGACGACGTTGGTGCGTTGCGCGTTGTGCTCGACATTGTAATTTTGGTTGTTTTTTTTGGAAACTTTTACAAGTAATTTTTTTGGCACGAATATTTTATTTACCGAAATTTGGATTTTCTTTTTTTTAATTTTTTTTATTCGGGTGAGTCACTGGTGTTATCTTTAGGAAAAATAAAAGCAATAAACTCGTGCAAATACAATTCTTACACTACGCTTGGCGTCGTTTCTCTGCTCCTCCCTTCCCTTAACTTAATAATTGCAATTGTAGCCGCCAGAATAATAACACGTTCGTATTAGAAAAGCTTTCATGTAGATTATTTTCCTGAGAAAGTTTACGAGCTTCCCCGGCGAAAAAAGTTGCGTGAGATATCGATCTTAGATATTTTTGAATGATACTGGTATGCGGGCACATGATATTATAAGCATAATTTATCAAAGCACTGTCATTAACACTGATGACGAGTGCATGTATTTGGATGCATTTTTTTTATTACAAGGTAAATATTTTAGTGCGATGAAATAATACTTCTATGATTGTAGTCACCAATTTTTTCAAATGATTTTGCTTTTTTTTATGAAGAGAAAATTTTTACATTACTAATTGGGGTTTTTTCCAAGCTGAATAATAATCAGCAAATAAGTTATTATTGTTCCAAACAGCTGAAATCAATTTATTTTTATTAAAAACATGTATATCTGGCAATTTTAAGTTACTGACAAATTTAACAATAAAGGTTGAGATGTTGATTTTATAGACATATGGGTGTAATAAATAAAGCACATAATATACTTATATATAATAAAAAAGTACAAATATTAGATCTCATGTATGAACCGAAAAGTAAAAAATAGTTTGTCATCGTGTTAATGTGAATTGAAAAAACCGGAGTCACCAAAATATTTTTTTGTATAATAATATACAACATTGGAGACCCCTGCTTATCTGATAAGTTGTGAAATGACAGAGTACCCAAATTCATATAACTAATAAAAAATTCTTTGCGATTCGGGAACGAAAAATCCCCATGACGAACAGTAATCTTCGAAAACGCCTTTATAGAGTATAAAGAATCGTAACAACATTGAAGCCTAAAAAGTACATGTGGCTGCAAGTGGAAAGTATGTACTTGGTATTATCTTTAAGCTGATAATAAAATTATTTGCAAGTTATAAGCTTTTTTTTTTTAACTATATTATCATAGTAAACTATACATGCTATCCTTTTAAAAATGGTCCTCGTATTGGATCTTCTTTCTTATTGCAGGATTTAAATAACGATTTTATTTGTTCGAGGAACATAAATTTTTCTATGCAAAAAATGGAACGTACAAATGAATCAAATTACACATAAATGAAAAATAAATTTATTTTCGGTTCTGAGATATCAATCCTGTATCACCGAAACACCTACGTATAATATTTAATCACTTGAAGTATCTTTGTGAACACGGTTCAATTCCAATCGGCATGAAAAGGCTCATGAAAAATAAGCGAGTCATCTCAACCTTTGAACATATCTTTTCAAAATCCACTTACCTTGCATCTCAATGCACAATCGATATCTATAAAACCGTGCGCTGTGAATTTCAATGGTTTTTGTATCAATTGCAGATTAAAACTCCGAATCTGCAAGAAAATTATTTTTGAGAAATAGTTACAATGAAACAGTGAGTAAACACAAGTAAATGTACGGAAACCTCAGCTCGAGCTTCTTCCGGGAGAAATTCTTCGTCGTACAGCTGATTGATGACATCTCCAGTCTTGCCCGACTACAAACAAAAAATCGCCTCAAGGACATTAATATGGACTACGGAAAACAAAAGTAAAATCAAAATTCTAACCGACTCGGCACATGAGCTACAGATCCATGAAACGAAATACAACTTTAACGAGTATAAAGTCATCAAGAGAAACGTAACTACAATTGACTTTTCAACCTCTTGGTGCGAATATTTATTAGTTAAAACGATGTAGGTGTTGTAAATCATTCCCGTCAGTATTATAAATATCGCTCCAATGGATAAAAGTAATTGTAGGCTGTAGGTGGCGTTTGCCTCGTGGCATCCTTCCATAAGTTTTAAATGAGCATATCTGCATATAAGAATAATTTTGATGGATAAATTATTTTTCACGGATAAAAAAATGTATGTATATTACAATAAATTGTTACTTGGCTGTTCTTATTATGTGGTAATAGTTTTTTGTTACAGTTTTCTGCGATTCAAATCCTAATCTGATTTTTTTATGCAGAGGACAATCGATTGTTCCCGTCAAAGAGGTTTCAAGTTTTTCGTTCAATTTTCGGAATTTGTATTGTATGTAGCTGATAAATGTCAAAAATTAATAAGATTTTTCAATACTCACTTTGCAAAAGACATGATACAATAAAAAATAATAATAATAATAATAATAATATACTCACCCTACAAGACTCGAAAATGTAGAATCCGTAATAAATATTAGAGTCATCGGATATACTAGCGATACAAAAGTTAGTATTTTCATTTCCATGGGCAAATTTTTTGGCAAGCAAGTTATATAAATAATTGCAAGCATTCCCATGGTACATAAAAAACCAAAACAGACTTTTATTGCTTGAACCTTCGTTACTTTGGTGTAAGCTTTTGGTATGCCAATACTTTCCATCAGATTGTCTGCCAGTTCCAATTTAGAGAAACACCTCTTTATGCCCTAAAAGTATACAATAATACATTGACATTGCAAAAACTACTCTACACTCCAAAAACCCCTTCCCTTAAAGTTAAAATTGGGATCTTGCATGAAAAATTCTAAGTATTTGTTCCATTTTATAGATTGTAAAAAAATATTGGACACGTATTTTTTCTTTTTTTATATAAACATGAATTAACAGAGATGGAGCACGTTAAAATTCAAGAGTGGGGATAAAATATGTCATAGGGACACAAAAATTGCGTGTCCTTATGACGTCATAAGCTCCCACTCTTGAACTTCGACTTGCTTTATCTTTGTCAATTCATGCTTATATGAAAAAAGAAAAAATACGTGTCCAATATTTTTTTACAATCTACAAAACTTACCAAATAAAATTTTTCATGCAAAAACCTCAATTATGCAAATAGCGAAAATATATTGATTTAATGTTATTAAAAAATTTTACTGCTTAGCATTATCTTATATTCTTATTAGCAAACTACAATAAAGAGATGAGAAAAAAAAAACTTACTTTACTGTTACCCCATCCCAAGATCATCGTTAAAATTGCGAGTACACTTCTCAGCCAGAAATATACAACTCCTCGTAGGTCATTGTCATGTACTGCAAACAATTTGACGAAAATCGGATAAGTGATCAAAGCGACTGTCGCAAAAGCTCCCAGCTGAATTGAAGAGTAAACGAAACTAAAAACCGGATGTGGATTGCCGATCGGGTATTCGATCACTCCGACTCCAAACAGCCAGTTTACTATGTATATAGAATACGATAGTCTTGAAAATTTCTCGGATTCTGTCATTTTTCGCTGCTTATCAGTATATTATTTTCAATTATTCGTGATTCACACGCACATATACGCACACTTGACGAGGCAATAAATCACGTGTGATAATTATATAAAAGCCCGAATGCGCTTGTTTCAATGATTGTGGATATTTTCAACATAATGCACAAGCATCGCAAACGAAACTTGCAAATGGTCGATATAGTAATGAATGTGTTCGAGTCTATTTCATTGTAATTTGAAGCTCGCGTGAGAGATACGAGTCAATATAATTAGTTTTTAACGACACGAGCACATCGCGTAAGTGTGTGTAATGAAGCATGCTATGAAAAAAAAAAAAAAAAAAAAAAAAAAAAAAAAAAAACTACATATTACGGTCGTGACGCCATATATAGCTGGCGTGTCTGTCTGTCACAAAGTATTTGTGTGTGTAAAAAATCTCATCGATTGTACGAGTTATTAAATATTTCCACTAAACGAGATTTCACGGGGCGTACGATAAAAGTGGGATAGGATTGATTTAAAACAGCAATGGATGATTTTTTTTTATCAAACCATGATGTACCTATGATACGATAATTTTATACTTGTGAGAGTAATAACTGTGCAGTGAATAAAACTTGGTAGTCGTTGTGGTTGGCCAAATACTCGATTATACCGATTCTAAACATTATACGTATATATAATTCGTTCATTATTTAGAATATTGGGTTTTCCAATTGTTTAATAGATTTCATCAAACAACTCTTTCATTTTTATTAAGAGTACAATTTCTGATTTGAAAAATAGATTTTAGCCAGTATACATATTTAATGAAAACAAAACTTTATGATGAATGTTTAATGCATTGAAAAATATTTTACTTACATTCATCACTTTTGAATAGCAAGAACGAATAATCGCTATTTTTTTTAAATATTTTACTCTCAGTACTATTGATTAGAATAAAGAAAGAAATAATGTTAGAAAAATTATGACGAAACATTCTCTTCATCCATACAACTTAAAAAAAAGGTTTTCAAAAAACTTTTGGGTGTTTTATCACAGATATCCTGAAGTAAACAATAAATAATTTCAGTTGCACAGAAGAAAAAGTTACAGACTAACCAAAATATTCTGGTTTTGCTTACGAAAAATTAGCTTCTGAGAGACTCTATCAGATGGGTATAAGGACTTTTACATTTTTTAGATCATCACAGTCTTCAGATGTTCACAGTTTTGAAAACTATTTCAAAATTAAAATATTTACATACTGTTATTCACATACTATTTATTCGCATCAAGTTAATTTTCTACCAGATAATAAAAGTAATAAGTAATCGAATAAAAATTTTTAATAACATTTATTGACACCGATATTGAATTTTTAAATGTTGGGAATTTTCAGGAGAGTGTAGTATTGCTATTGTTGTTGTGAGTGAAGTACTAAAAATATTACTTTACGTCATTTTTATTGCATCGGAAGGTTTTACAAATAAGAAGTAAGTAATCATTGGTAGAAATAAATTAATATTCAACACAGTTTTAGAGAATTGTATACTAAATATATTTTTATACGATTCTTCTTTTGCAATATTTAGAAAAGATTGAAATTAAAATGTGGCCAAGTCTTATTGAAAAAACTATAGGTACTTTTACATGAGAAATTCCGTGATTTTTTCAATTCGTTTTAGTGGCTTAAGACTTAAATATATAATTTACTTGAGTTCAACTGAAACTGAATGTTGTAAAAGTTTTTCTCGTAATAAGAATTATTTAGTAAAAAAAATTTAAGCTTCTTCCTAAAAACAAAGTACGGAAAAATATTCCTTTCGTACAAGTAAATGTACAATAAAATTGTTTGAAAACTGTGTTAAATTAATAATGGAATTTTGTTTTATTCTTTTAGAAATAAAAAATAATTCCAATAAAATTTTTACTCATTAAAATATAAATGATATTTAAAAAATTGTATTATACACATGCAGAGTTAGTACAGAATGGTCAATATACGTTTCAAATAAATGTTTTTTTACTAACATGTTATATAGTGACGTAAACATCAAAGGCTGCACTGCATTCACGAGTATAATACATTAGTGGCCAATATATTGAAAATCTATTCTTCAACTCAACAAATATGATGTATGATACATTATAATCGATGTTCCTAATATGTAAATTTACTTTTCTTTTAAACTATGAATTTTAGATAATTATCATGGGTTGAGAAATAAAGCTGCAAACTATTTAGGATTTTTTATTATTTTCTTTAGTTACAATGACATTTATTATAATTTAGAAATAGTTCTAAGCTTTTGAACTGTAAACCCTGGATTGTTTCTATGATTTGCTGCTTGTTTCGTTGTCCGATGAAACCTCAACAAGCGCATTAGCCGCTTTTACCATGTCTGGCTCATTTTGTATCAATATCATCAAGTACGTTGTAACTGAGCCTACGAACTTTTAAAAAATATATCAATTAATAATTACAAATACAAATTATAAATTTTAAGAAGATGTTAGTAGAACGTACGAAAAATATGAAAACTAAATAAAAACTAGAATGATTGAGCGAAAAAATGTTAAATATTAAGTAAAGGTCACTAAATTTACAGGGTAAGTAACTGAAAGTAAATATAAAAAATATATCAGCAGATTAAGAAATGAGACAGTATGATACAGTAGATGGAAAGTTTAAATTAATAAAAAAATATTGAACTATTTTTAGACATGCCAACTAAATTTAAATAATTTACCCCTCTCACAAAACCAAAATCCAGAACTATCAAACCCGATGCGGTGAAATACAAAGGGTGTTGCATTATTTGCAGTGAAATTTGATGAATCTGAGGAATAACGTCAATTATATTTAAGAAAAAATATTACTCATTTTATATACAAATTTAAGTCTATTGAAAACCTCGTCCGTAATTTTTTTCTGCCATCTCGAAACTTGAATTTCATGAGCTAATTGACTTGTTTTTTGAGACTGAAATAAATCGCATCAGAAATAAATAAAATAGTGCTTGGTATAACGAATTTCAATTATATGCTAAAACTACCTCTTCTGAAACATTAACCGTTACCCGAATGACACACATAATCCTAAATATACTCATGGCGATCCATATCCCAAGTGTATAGAAGTGATGTATTTTTTTAGCTAATGAATAGTTCACGTCGATGTAAACGACGTAAGTACAATAGCCAAACCCAGTTAATAATAAAAAAGTGGCTGCCATTTGTAATGACAGTTGTTTGCTGAAAGTATCGTTAACTTCTCGTGACATCGCGCACAAGTCCAAATGAAGTTGTCTATAATATAATTAAGAATTAATAAAAATAATTTTTCATCCATCAAACTTTACATACTTATTTTCTGCTGGTTACAAATATTGAAAGCTTTTAGTGTGTAATGTATTTATTTTACAACGTAGAAAATTGCACATTTTCAACATTTAAACTGCTTAAAAAAATTAATAACACAAAACTAAATGAATTACCTTACGATTCGTAGTACAAATTCGATATTATTTCGGTTTTTGTTGTAATGAACTGGTTGCACGGTAACTTTATTGATGTACTTTTTCATTGTATTTTGATATTTATTGTGATTTTTTAAGTCGTCCGGCTGTAGTGCTGACGATGTTGCACTCTGAACAACTGAATTCAATCTTTCGAATCTTGTACCCAAAATACTAATTCACAAAATTTTTAAATTTATTTTAAGTTTGATTCAATAAAACAAAACATGGGCGATAAAACTTACTAAATAATTAAATAAAAATTCAGCTCATTAGTGAGGTTTAATATTAAGGGGAATTGAAACAGTAAAACTCTTACGAGCATATCATAAAAGTCATCAAAGTAATAATATGCGATGGCTAAGTCACTGCTTAATATAACGCAACTACCAAAACACCAAATGAAAATGGCTTGCATGCACAAGTCGAATGTCGCCTTGTATTCTGGATCGATTCCAAAAATTTCCAGCGTTTCGTCAGCAAGAGTAATTTTTTTCGCAAAAGTTTTTACTTCCTGTCAAAAAATTATAAAAAATACACCACAGTACTGACTTACGAATCATTAATTATTGAAAATTACGTTTGCACAAAAAATCGAAATAAATCAACTTACTTTGTAATTTTTAAACCCCAATATAGTGGACACGACGGCAATGAAAATATTACTCAAATGAATTATTCTAATTGTTGTTATCATCGTTTCGATGGCAAAATAATTTATATGAGACATCCTTCGAAATTGCCAAAAAAAGTAAACATAAATGATGCTCCTGACAACAGCGTATAGTATGCTCAGCTTGGGCCACGGTATTCCGATCGGCATCTCAAAGATCGTTAGTCCCAAAATGCCGTTGTAAAGGCAAAGTGGACGCAAAGCGTTTAATATACTTGTCACGTGTTTCGGCATTTTCCCGTTGATTTGACTACAAAATCAATATAATAATTATAAAAATCAATCGTTGTCGTTACTTAGTGAGTTCGGCTCATCGCAACTCATTCCGTAAGGTATAAAGTAAAGCGTTAAAGTATCGAACGAACGCGGTGCGTGATCGTATCGTTGAAATGTTCGTACGAGACGTTATCGAGACGGAGGGTTTCTACATACTGTAAAGAGGATGTGCGAGACCCTGAGTGTCAAGGGTTTAACGAGTGAGAGTCGAAGGTCACACCTGTGCGTGTATATTTTAATTATAGTTCCTGCGAACGTGTATATTATATACTAACACTGTTTTTGTTTGGCATATCGATGCGAAGGCTTTTTGTCGGTCATTCAGTTAATTTTTAATGAATATTCCAACAAAACATATGTACTACGTAAAATCGTTTTATTTTATTTCAAATAATTACCATTTGCGGAAAAAAAATTGTTTTTTTTAACATGTACATAACGTAAAAATTAAATTAAAAAATAAAAATTAATAATCAAGAAATCATAAACGTAAAAAAATCGTGTCTGTGGAATTATAAAAATTTTTGCCATAACCAACTGAAACAGAAGTGTTATACGCATTTAAAATCAAGAATTATAATCCAAAGAAGGGCGGCAATAGTCAGCGTGTGTATGCGTGTGTGTGTGTGTGTGTGTGTGTTGTGTGATGCGTGGTCTAGGGAAGAGAAAGGCGCACGGGCGCTTGCAGCGCCGCGTTACTGATGTGTTCGCGTGAAGAAGCGGGATCGAGGGATATACCTCGAGACGCGAAGGTGGCAAGACGTGTCGTGAGGCCTGCGAGCGAGCGTATGAGAGCGCGTGTAAGCGCGAGACGTTGTCTGTGCCCACAACTCATTGTCATCTAATTTTTAATAAATACTTTTAATTAAAATACCTCTTGAGCATCTCGCTGAGTTAATCACCCTGAATCCTGTTCCTTACAGAAGGTACTTAAATATTTCACAAATTAACTAAAGCAGACAATTGAAAAATTATAAAGTCAAAAAAATTTTTTAATACGTAACTGATGAGACGAATTGTTCAGAAGGTACTTAAATATTTCACAAATTAACTAAAGCAGACAATTGAAAAATTATAAAGTCAAAAAAATTTTTTAATACGTAACTGATGAGACGAATTGTTCAGAAGGTACTTAAATATTTCACAAATTAACTAAAGCAGACAATTGAAAAATTATAAAGTCAAAAAAATTTTTTAATACGTAACTGATGAGACGAATTGTTCAGAAGGTACTTAAATATTTCACAAATTAACTAAAGCAGACAATTGAAAAATTATAAAGTCAAAAAAATTTTTTAATACGTAACTGATGAGACGAATTGTTCAGAAGGTACTTAAATATTTCACAAATTAACTAAAGCAGACAATTGAAAAATTATAAAGTCAAAAAAATTTTTTAATACGTAACTGATGAGACGAATTGTTCAGAAGGTACTTAAATATTTCACAAATTAACTAAAGCAGACAATTGAAAAATTATAAAGTCAAAAAAATTTTTTAATACGTAACTGATGAGACGAATTGTTNTATGCATTGAAATTTCTGAATACTTAAAAACCAAATTTCTTTTTTTCCAGAATAAAAACATTCATTCTTTTTACTGAAAAAAAAAAAAAAAAAAAAATTTCCTATCAGATAAGTGCCACACACTTCGGTTGATTTTATATCATCCAAAATAAAATATGTAAATACTTTGACTTTTTCTTGAAATTGGGTTATTGGGTAAAAAATTTTTAAAACAGCAGAGAACATCGTACTTTTCTCATAAATATATATACACTATGTTGCTTCCTTACCGGAGAGGGGTCAACGGCACGTTCACATTCCAGTGCGCAAAAAGTAAAAAATTTAGGATTCTTCAATTTCCCGTCCCTCATTAAGTAATGTATTTCCCAAACTCTTGCCTATATACACTCCCGCGCATTTGTCACAATGAGCGCAACGAAGACAGCAATCGAGAGCCGAAAATAAATCCCCACGGGCGCGTGCCGCGGTTCATTTTCAGGCTGCCAAAAATTGCTGGCGGTACTTATAGTCAGCGGTTGGTTGGCAATCGTCGAGAGAGACCCCCGCTTCGGTCGAGGAAACATGTAAATGAAGCGTCTCATCGAGGGGTTGATTCTCTCTCGTGCGTATACATTGTACAACCAGTTGAGAGTCGATGGGCGGCGATGTATGGATTCGTTCGCGCGCCTGCGCTCCGAAATATCGAATCGACTCGTCGGAGCGCAGCCCACGGAGCTCCTTTTTTCTCGGCTTGCAAATTAATTTCCAAGGATCACATTGTACACGAGCTTACGCTTATTCGGGTTTGATTTATGTGTTTGAACGGGCTATGTGTATATACAATATCATTGCCTTGGACGCCTCGTGTGTACTTTACTGGAGTTTAGGGCTTTGCAGTACCAAGGCACTACTAGATTTAGGAGAAATATATTGTCTCGGTAGTAAAAAATAATTGTATTGGCAAGTCTAATCCTTGTCTTGTTAAAGTTTTAATGAGTTACAGTCTTTGTTTTATAATATCGTTTTGATGTTAGCAAACAAGTATTATTGGTATTATTGGATGGGATTCATAATTACTAAGAAAAATCACTAAAATTCCATCAAGTAAACTATATTATACCTCTCTGAAGTCAAAAGTTCAAGCGAAAAGTTACCATTGAGTATCTCAATCTCTGTTCACTGATTTTTAGCAGTTATATTCTTTGGTATGCTTTTACATAAAGTTAGGGAGGTTCTTTTTAATCCAAGCTCAGTAGAAAAATTATTTACAACTTTTCTGACTGCATTTCGGTCAGTAGATTGTGTAACAATCATTACTGTGTTGAATTTGTTGTATGCCATTTGTTGTAGAGCTGAGTCGTGGAATTACGTTTGTTTTGACTGATTGTAAAGACGTGATTAGGAAAATTTGACTTTTACTGTAAAAAAAATTTTGTAATGATGTTTCTGTCTTAAAAAAATATTTTTAATATTTAAATAAATG